AATGATCGCGTCAATGAGGAGTGGTTCCTTGGTTCCACGACCACCGCCCCGACGACCGTTTTGAGCGCGCGACATCACCTGATTTGAGTTCATGTGACGAGTGATTCTCGCGCTCGTTATGTTACGTTATGGGGCGGTATTTGCTCGGGTCTGTGGAATCCCGATCTTTAGGAACCAAATGAGTGATCCCAGTAGTGAAGAGGCTCGGGAGAGACTTTTGGTCGAGAGCCTCTTGAAATAGTATTATTAGAAACGTAAAAATATTATTATGTAAAATTATTTCTTCTTTCTATTAATTCTTTATTGTTAATTATTACTTCTTTATTTTTGTATAAGATAATTGACGGCCCTATAGATTTATACTGCAGTGTTTAGAATGGCTGCAGATTCGAATTCCACGTGGAACTACTATTTCTATGACCTACAAACGATTTATCCTCATTTAGATATATGTCTTGTGTATGAACCACACATCCTTATTTTTCACAAGCAAACGAGGAATGAGAAAAATATGGATGTGTAAAACTCCTACACAATACAGGCGAAATTTCTATTGTTTCTTTTAATAAAAGAAATTTGACTCCTGTGATAACTACTAAAAGGAGTTGCACAGTTTAAGCAGAACTCTACTTTTATTTTATCGTGTAAACGTTTAATTAATTAAAGAGAAACTAATTTGCTAGCAGCAGCAGCACACTGCTACCTGCGACTCGAAGCACGTTTTACACTCGAGGCGTTTTATAGGGTAGGTAACAATTGTTCTCTCCTTTGTTATTAGATAGTTTTATTTTTATTGCAAAGATCTAATTATTAGCACATTTAAACACTAAATACTACATGTACATATTCTCATTTGTAAAGATATACTTAATTATTTTTATTAAATAGGTAGACATTTTGTTTTAAACATTAAGTACCATTATATTGAACTCGATTTTTAAAAAAGTAATAGGTTAATAATTTCTTATATTTACGCGAAGACACATATTACACACATTAAACGAAACTAATTTTTACGGATTCTATCGCGTTTAATTTAACTTTTTAATGCCCGACGTTTCGGATACTTTAAATGAAACGCAATAGAATCCATAAAAAATGTTTCATATAAAGTATTAGGGCTACAATATTAGTTATATGTTTCCCTCTAAAGCATCTAAACAAAAATTATGCATAGGTAACAAGCTTAAAATTATTAGACCATGACTCGCTTGTACGGTTCAAAAATGTTACTTTTCTGCCGACTTCCAAAAAGGAGACGGTACTCAATTCGACTGTATGTTTTTTTTTTATGTGTGTTAACTCATAATTTTTTACTGGGTGAACCGATTTCGATGATTCTTTTTATATGAAAGCTGATACTTCTCGTGTGGTCCCATATGAATTTCATCAAGGTCAGACCAATAGTTTTTGAGTTATTCTTAATAACTTAAAGTCGGCTGTACAAAATTTTTAATTTTAAATTATATGAAATTAGAAAACAAATTAAGTGATCGAGAAATGCAGCTGTTACTCGGTGATTATAACGCACCGTTGACCTTTATTTTCCATACTAGATATTCTTAGTTAAAATTAATATAAAGGTGACTTTACTTGTTTTTTTTTCTTTGATTATTTAACTCGTACATTGTATTTATGCCAATGTCAAGTATGAAAAAAAGTCTATAAAATAATTTGTTTAAAAACACACATAAAAGCACATTTCGGTGTTTCGGGAGATTTTTATGACAGCATAAACCAGCCGATAATCCATGACGATAGCATCTCAAGCAAGTCTGAAGTCTTCAAGTCTAATTTGTCATTTCTGGTCAATGTCAAAATATGAAGGGAAATTTATTTTAATTCGCAACTTAAGATTGTTGATCCGTAAATGGTAACCGACAAAACTGGTCTATCTAAAAATGTCATAATCTGGTCGTTTACCAATCGGCGGATGTACTACACAACAAAATATTTGCGCTGGTTTGTCGACAATATAAACTAGTCGAATATTAAGCTGTATTTAAACTAGTATATCATAGACGATAAACAACGTCAACGACCCACCTCTAGCGAGCCCTGAGACCTATGAAGCTGTAAGAGCCAAAAGGCTAACAGCACTAACATCATTAGAAACCATTCGCAAGGCGCTCATGAAGACAGGTTATCTTAAGTTTTATATTACCTTCGGAGCACTTCTTTTATCGTGTCCAGTAATAATTTACATCCATCGACATTTAATATATAAAAACGCACCTATTTTTCGTATTTGAAAAAATATAGTATACATAAGCATATACATAAGCATAATAGTAAGAGTTCAAACTAATTCTACAGGAGCAATATTATGTCGCCCGCGGTCAAGTTCCCGCTAAAACTCTTCTACTGATAAATAACATATTAAAAGTTATATTAATTATACACACTTCATTTCTATTTAACGCTTCAGTTGACCGCATCCAGCGCAGAGCGGCTCGAATCGTCGATACCGACTCCTTTTCGATCGGCTCGAACCACTGGCGCTGCGAAGATATGTTGCATCCCTTTGCATTTTCTTTCGTATTTATCACGGGAGTGCTCTGAGGAATTGTTCGGATTAATCCCAGCCGCCAAATTTCACGAACGCACATAGCGAATAAACTATATATATATAAACTCCCGATACTATCCACACCATCTGGATGCTTGGTGGTCCACCACTGTACGTTTCACTAGGAGTTTTCTTCCGTTTCGACCTCTATGTGGAATATCTTACCACCGGCGATTTTTCCGGACCGATACGACTTAGGGATCTTCAAGAAAAGAGCTGACTCCTTTTTAAAAGGCCGGCAACGCACCTGCAATTCCCTTGGCGTTACAGTTATTCATGGGCGGCAGTTAGTCACTTACTATCAGGTGAACCGTATGTTCGTTTGACCCTCTCCTATAAGAAAAAGAAACAAGAACATTTACATTTTATGATATTAATTACATTACAATATAAATTTTATGATAGCCATTTAGATTTAATAATTCACGTCAAATTGCCTCAGTTACCACCTTACACTGAAATACAATTTAATGAACATGATACCTCCTATTTGTTCTTTGTCGAATTCGATACACATAAACACTCACGCCTGTCACCCAGAGGGGTAGGCAGAGATTATGTACTTCCATTTGGCACGATCCTGCCACACCTCTCTCGCTTCCTCCACATCCATATACCTACGCATACACATCGAATTGGATCTTCGTTAAAAAGTAATCTGAACGTTTTTGAGTGGTTAAAAAGGTTTTTAAAGCCATTACATTAATGGTAGACAAATGGAGCATTAAAAATTATTAGGTACTTATTCAACATCCTTATGAATACTATTGGCGTTGTCATTGTGCACTTTATTACTGTTTCATTTAGGATAGACTTCAAAAAGGGAGAATTACCAATTGGACTTTATTTTATATTACGCGAAATCGTCACAAATTGTAAACAGATTTCTATTTTTTTTTAAATTAAATAGGGTATGGCAGAAGGGAGTTTAAAAAAATCCACCTTTAATACTCCAGCGTGAAAAAAGTGGTGATATTTTTAATGTTACATGTTATTTTGCAAAAACCGGCTAAATTTACAGAGAAGGTTCAGAATCTCACACATTATGTCCTTTTTATCTTTTAATTTTATAGCGCGCTTTCCCATGTCGCCTGTCATTTACGGCATTTTAGTAAGTTTTATTTAAAAAGAACTAAAAAAGTAATACACTTGCTTCTTTTCGTAGACGCACATCGCGCCAAAACTCCCGATACTATCCACACCATCTGGATGCTTGGCGGTCCACCACTGTAAGTTTCACTAGGAATTTTCTTCCGTTTCGACCTCTCTGTAGAATAGCTTACTACCGGTGATTTTTTAGGACCGATATGACTTAGGGACCTTCAAGAAAAGAACCTACTCCTTTTTACAAGGCTGGCAACGCACCTGCAATTCCCCTGGTGTTGCGGTTGTTCATGGGCGGCGGTAGTCACTTACTATCAGGTGAACCGTATGCTCATTTGCCCCCCCCCCCCTCCTATAAAAAAAGAAACAAAACATTTACATTGATATTTTATGCGTACGTCAAGTACGTTCAGACAAGAATCACCACCAACTTTTTATTATTTTATTAGTGGTGGAGCTGGCGTGGGCAAAAGTTTGTTAATTAATGATTTGTATAAATACTTAATGCTTATGTTCAATAGAGTTCCGGGTATAAATCCTGATGATGCTAGAATTTTACTTTGTACATACACGGGAAAAGCTAGTTTTGGAACCGGTGGTCAAACTGTACACAGTACGTTTGGACTTCCAGTATCCCAGTGTGGCCAAACAATGCCCGAATTATTAGCAAGCACCGCGAAAACCTTAGCATGTAAACTTGCAAAAGTGAGATTAATTATATTGGATGAAATATCTATGCTAGGGAGTAGAACTCTGAACCAAATTAATAGGAGATTGCAGCAATTATTTTACACAGATACGCCATTTACTGGTATGTCTATTATAAGCGTCGTGGACTTCAATCAGTACCACCGGCCGGTAGGAGACAACTGGGTTTTTCAACCAAACAATAGTCGAAATCCATTGACACCCCTTGATGGCACTCCGTTGTGGGAACCATTCCGTCTCTTTATGATGACTAAAGTACCTAATGCGGCAAATAGGTGATCTGGCATTCGCAATAACCTTAAACAATATGGCTGTCGGTCGGATGACTTTTATGGATATAGAGTTATTAAATTCTAAATGTTACTGTATTAATACTGTAACTATTGAGGCACATGGAGCGATACACTTATTTGAGACCAACAATGAAGTCGAGAAATACAATAATCAATTATTGTCTCGAATGAACACTGAAGAATACTCGGTTAACGCACTTGATGTGGTTTCTGGAGCACCAAATCCGCAAGCTGCTAGAAAAGCCTTGCAATCTGTAAATGCTCTAGCCACAATGCAGATCTACGGTCTTCCTAAGAACTTGTTTTTACGAGTAGGTGCACGTTATATGGTAACTGTGAATATTGACACTACGGATGGCCTTGTGAATGGTACTATCGGAATATTGACTGCTACAGATTACGGTCAACACAAGGAGACAAGTGAAAAGCGGCCTTTACGTATTTGGGTTCTGTTCGATAAAAGTACAGGAATAGCTACAAGAAGTAAATGTCAATTAAATTCTCGGAAACATCGTCAATATCTCAGTTCGTATTGGATGCTATTAGATGTTGTCACTTATACTGTGAAAAGGTGGAAATCTTCAAACCTTGTAGTGCATCGTACTCAGTTTTCAATAGTACCAGCAAAAGGTATTAGAATTCATAAGTCGCAAGGTGCAACCTTAGAAAAAGTTGTGGTTCATATTTGCAAAAATGTAAAAAGATCGATGTTGTATGTAGCTTATTCTAGAGGAACGTCATCCTTTGGACTGCTTTTAGTCGTGAATCCAGGTAGATTTAAACCTCCCTCTGATATATCAGAATCGAGTGCTGTAAGTATAGGAATGAAAAGACTAAAGCAAAACAAATTGGTACCATATTTTTAATTTTTGCACCTGAAGATAATGCAGTTCAAATTGTATTTCATAACATGCAATCATTAGGCAAACATTTTCCAGACGTCATCATAGATCCTATTATTTATTCCTCCCATGCAGCACTGTTTGTTGAAACCTAGGGATGTCGTAGAGACAATTTTGAAATTGATGGTTTTTATGAGGTTATCAGAGTAGATGGCCCAGCTATATCTAATGCAGATCCAGGTTGGGGATCTATCACATATGTACGTTGCAATCTTAAGGATGCCGTGACGGATGGAGCATGTAAAAGATATTATTTAAATAACTAAGGCGCTGTAAACGGCCATTGTGAATGCTTGCATTTTGAAATGTTTAATGTTAGAGTGATAACTGTATATAGGTCAACACAATGTCAAATTAGTGTTGCAATAGAATGCATAATACAACAATATACGACAGTAACCTCAATAGGTATACTTCATGTTCTCGTTTGATTGTTGTGGGAGACTTCAATATCAATTTAGAATGAATCCCCATAATGGAAATGCCACTTATTTTCCTCCATGTTTAGGGATGACAAATATGTGTTTAACGGAAACTCAAAATAAGCACTACGCGAAGTAGTACTACTATAGATAACGTTTTTTCGAACTTTAATGTTCAATGTGATACTATTTGTACCTTTTTCAATCACCATTTACAGGTTTGCCTTGCAAAATTTCTTTTATCAAACTTATTTATTTACAAAGTTTTTTAATCACTATTTAGAAATCTGGTTCAAAAATACTAATTAAGTATTAAATTTGAACTAGATTTCTAAATAATGACTAAAAAACTTTGTAAATAAATAACTTTGATATATGAACTTTTGAAAGGCTGCTGCAAGACTAGTGTAGGTATTTCAGATATATTATAAGATAAATGATATCTTTTAATATAAAATAAAGGATTACTGAAACGATAAAGAGACCTTTGTTTTAAATTTATGCTCCTCCAGCTTTCCACACATTAATGTTATGGTTTTCATTTAGCAATAAAATACCATAACTTTTACTTATATACCTACAGGCTTGTACGGGACCCTCGGTGCGCGAGAGGAAGTAAACGAGCATTCTTACCTGATGGTAAGTGGCTACAGCCGCTCATGAACAACTGTAACAACAGGGCTATCGCAGGTGCGTTGCCGGCCTTTTAGAAAGGAGTAAGCTCTTTTCTTGAAGGTCCTTAAGTCATATCTATACTATAGCTTTACTTTTTCATTTGCGGGATAGACAGGGAGGCTCTCTCTTACTTTTTACTGTCACTTATTTTTTAGTTGGTAGTTATTGTAGGCCTCATTCAAAGTATTTATACAATCATATAACGTAGTACAGTTTCATTCGTCACACTTTTGTTTTACGCGGGCGACCTCAGGATAATTTAGGACAGTGGTGGTTTACGTGAAGCTTCTTTACGGATATATGTAAACCTTGAGGTTGCACTGAGGGGAATATATAGATATATTAGAGTCAAGTATGATCAACTTTGTACCTTGGCATGTGAATGATTTGATGTAAATTGTATTATTTTTTAAATCGATTTTTTTTAATCCTTTTTGAATATCACTCCCTATAAGTCTGATTTGAAAATAAGTACTTCAGTTATGATCTTCCTATTTGGAATCTTAGTCGTTATAAAATAATAAGAGAGTTCGCAAACCGCGAACTCACTTATTATGCTCATTATCAAGAAAACCCCTTTTATTGTAACGGGCAAGTACGAAACCCTACGTCTACATTGTGCGCGGCCCGACTCGCACTTGGTCAGTTTTTATCTTTATTTCCACCCCTCATTTATAATGCTTATTAGTTTTCTAGCCTTACTTATAACGGTTTTGAAGGCGAAGTAAACCATTGTAAAAAAGCTTACATATCTGAGAAATGTAAATACATTTCGATTACTAAAACTACCTTCAACTTTTATTGTAGTCCTGCGCCGGATATTTCCTGCGAAAAATCCTGGAAACAGTCATTGAAATTATTAATAATATGTTCAATGTATATAACTAGTAGCTGTGCTAGAAGCTTAGCACACGTTAGAGCTCACGGGCTCAAACCTACGTACGTAGTTTAAAATAGATATGAAGTAATACAGATTACCTTGTAGCACTTTTTATTCACTTCATAAACGAATCACAATAATTATATTATATTATAATTTATTATATTATATAATTTATATCGTAATTAGATGATAACATCTACTAGCAGAGCAACTCATTTGCAGAGCGACTGAACCACCACTGAGATATACCAGTTCCATTTATAGTGTACAACGTTGTTACAATTACCCACAATTCTTATTATTTTTACTTATGTTGCTCTATGGTTTTATGATTTATTAAATCTGAAGCATATGTACACCTAATAACTATTTATTTATAATAATTTATTATTAAAAATAAATTATTAATTATAATTTATTATATAGTTGTTGATGATTTCAAATCCATTGGTAGCATTAGTCTGTGCCATAAGAAGGTACTCTGTGCCTCCGACCACGCGCTTTGCACTGCGGAGCTTTGGCGGGAAATTGTCCGGCGGCGGTTTGCTGCTCCTGTATTATTGTTTAAATAATGGTTTGAAGTGGACTTTGATATGTAAAAGTGGTGCGATTTTGTGTATTAAGTGTCTGCGCATGTGAACTATTAGTGGAAACTGTGAAACAAGTGCTCTGATGATGATGTGATTCTCAAAATAAGGTGTCTGTCTGCTTAGACGCCTTGAGATACCATCGCCAACCGTCAGCTGTGTCTGCTGGCTCAAGTTGCCGTCAAAATCTCAAAAGGGTTGCACAGTGTGACACATCTACATATTGTGAAGCAGTATACTATGAAGGATAATTATAATACATTGTAACTTCAGGCTCAGAAGGCTAGATTCCAGAGTCGTAAACATAGTTATTAAAAAAAAGCTTTCTTGTAGGTAGCAATTGCAAATGCGTTGCCGGCCTTTTAAAAAGGAATTCTCCTTCTCTTTTCTTGAAGGTCCCTAAGTCGTATCGGTCCGGAAAAATCGCTGGTGATAATCGATTGTGCCCAGTTGCGGAACTATCTTGGCTGATACATGTCTTTACGGTACTTAATAATAATCCTTTTTTATTAGCCCCTAAAAATCCACAGCATTATATGTGCCTCTCACTTTGTCGGAAGGTCACGGTTCGCAGGCGAATTGATTGTCGCCGGAGCACTGAGAAAGTTGCAAGTCTAAATTTTTATTGTACTGATATTGTATTCAACGGATTAGTAAGCTGAAGTGGCAATGGGCCGGCCATATAGCTCGAAGAACCGACAACCGATGGGGCAGAAAGGTTCTCGAGTGGCAGCCTCGTACCGGCAGGCGAAGTGTAGGGCGTCCCCCCACTAGATGGAGTGACGACCTGGTAAGATATGCAGGAAGTCGATGGATGCAGGTGGCTCAGGACCGTGCTTTGTGGCATTCTTTGGGGGAGGCCTATGTTCAGCAGTGGACTTGTGAAGGGCTGTAATGATGATAATGATGATTGTATTCATTACATTGGTTTAAATTTTTATAAATTACGATACTATTTCATCTTGACTAAATTATTTTCTTTTACTTTATTTTACTGAAATATAAAGTAATTACCTCTAAAATTATCTACCGTATAGGTACGAAATTGTCTTTTAAAGATTTTTTGTCTGTGGAAATAAAAATGTCGATAAATAACCAGATGATTCTGCTGAGGTTTCATTACCGAAGGGGTGAAGGGGTATCGTTAAATATGGGCTGGGTTGGACACAATGTTTTATGCGGAGCTCTTGATAAATTGTTCGAGATTCAATTTAAAAGGGTAATGTTGTGTCCTTACGGCACAAACACGAAACACGGCGTTTCGCCATAAACTCTTTCGAGTCAGCGAGCAAGAAAAATAATAGCGGATGGAAACCGTTTTATTTGTAGGAATGTTTGAAAATATTGAACTAAAATTTTAATCTTCGTCAGACCGTTAAAATTCACAACCGGAAATGGGCTATGAACATGACATAATTGCAGCATTCTAGAGTCCGTCGCCCCCATTTCGTCGCATGGGTGTGATAAGAGGTGAGTACGGGAAATGAAAAATTTAAAAAAATATGACTTCCGATCGGAGGCAGTATAACGAGCTCGTTAATACCAGTATTAAATACTTATGAATACCGGTGACGTGCAGTAGCATCAAAGCTGAGAGATTAATAAATAAAATAATATATACATAAATAAATAAATAAAGACGTCTGGTACTGCAATTGTCAAATCCTCCTTACTACGGGAGAAACCCATGTCCAGCAGAGACAGGAAGGGACGCCCCAAACGAAGGTTTATCGACCAAATTGGCTATATATTGAAAATGGGCCAGATTAGGAATACCTTTAACCGACGAGCGTGTATGAGTAGATATATGGATGTAAAGGAGGCGAGAGAGCAGTGTCAGGATCGCGCAAAATGGTAGTCCGTAGTCTCTGCCTGTATGTATGCAGGTATATACGAGTATATATACAGGGTTATTTTGCAATAACCGGCCAAATTTGCAGTAAAGGTAAAGTGAAGAAAAATGAACCAACATTCTGTCCTATTTATCTTTTAAATTCAAACTGCGATGTAATGTTTTATTTTAATTAATTTTACCAACCGATCAACACTTGTGAATGTCGCATACATTCGCAAGAGTTGATCGGTTGGTAAAAACGTTGTGAATTGAATCGCACACAGACAGTATAAATATAAGTAGGAATTCATATTTATACTGTGACATAGAGGAGTGGGCATAAGCGTAATTATTGCCCAAGTTTTAGAAGCCTTGTTTACTCATATTTTCAAAAACTGCAATAACGATAAATCATTATTTATATATTTGAACTTAAGTTTACAATTTGGCTACTCTTTGAAAAATATATATAATTATATATAATACTTTGTCTGAATACGCATTGCGAAAGACAAAGCAAACAGTTTGGTTTGAATAGAATAGAATAGAATTGCGTGGAACAT